ATGATAAGCAAATATAAGTAACCAGCTGGTACCCGGCGCGTTGCTGCCGCAGAAGAAATAATTGTGGTAATATCGTTTTAAATTGGGAAGAGTTATATTATTAGGAATGACAATGCATTCATTGATGTTGAATGATATATAACTTACAAATGTGTCGGTACTATACGCGTGCCACCTACTGTAAGTTAATTGTACTATGCCCATAACAACCCATACGTACCCAAGTATAAAATAATAATAAACACGCATTGTCCAGAAATTTGGGGATCTATGAAAACCTTAGTTAACACTTACCTTCGAAGTCATATGTTCTGTAGGCAAGAAGCCAACTACAGCCAATACAACCAACCAAGCCCCATGATTCTTTTATACGATACTAACGTCACACAATTGTTTTGCCTTCCCGGAACACTTACTTTATGGTATGGTATTAAAGTTCAAATTGACTTTTAAGTATTATTACGAATCTTTTGTATGGGAATATAGAAAAGTATTGTTTTTACACTTTTTTAGGCAATTTTTTGAACTTTTCTCTCCGTAAGAACCATCTTCGTACTTCAAGGAATATTATAAAAAAAGAATTAGCGAAATCGGTTCAGCTGCTCTCGAGATTTGCGCTTAGCAACACATTCAGCGATTCATTTTTATATTATAGATAAATAAATAAAATACAATTAGTATTTTTTTTTATAGGATAGGGTGACAAACGAGCACACAGTCCACCTGATGGTAAGCGGTTGCTGTGGCCCATAGACATCTATATCTATCCTCGTCTGCGAATCAAAATGCAGATGCGTTGTCATCCGTGAGGACTAAGATAGAATGCCTCTTTTCCAGTAAAAAGGGGTGGTCCTTCCCCGGTCGAGTCGACCCATTCGTGCTACAACTATACTACTAATATAGCTGCAGCATGGCTCTACCACGTTTATTACCAGTTACCAGTATTTCTGCCTGTCAAGTAACTGAACATTATCGTTTTTAATAACTTATTAACAAAATAAATACTTCACAATATATTGATTCATTCTATTGTAAATTTTTAGGGAGACTGATGATAGCTTTAGCGGACAGTTGATGACGAAGGTATTTCAAAATGATAAAACTGAGGATCAAGTCACCATCGGAATACTTGTTTCGCCGTGTCCAAATAACACCATGTGCAGACATTAAATATACAAAACCATCACGATCGAGTTCCGTAAGCCGACAAGCCAAAAGTTTTATATCCATATGTGATAGTTTTGTACGGTCTTTGTTAAGGTTTTATTAACACAGCATGTAACGTTGGTTTATACATGGTAGAGCCATGCTGCAGCTATATTAGTAGTATAGTTCTAGCACGAATGGGTCGGCTCGACCGGGGAAGAACCACACTCTCACAGAATACCACCGTAAAATGGCAGCTTGACACTGCTGTGTTTCGTATGGTGAGTGTAGAGAACCGGAGACACGTTTTACTGGAAAAGGGGCATTCCATCTTAGTCCTTACGTGTGACGACGCATCTGCATTTTGATTATTTATTGAGGATGGATGGATATAGATGTCTATGGGTCACAGCAACCACTTACCATCAAGTGAACTGTGTGCTTGTTTGTCACCCAATCCTATAAAAAAAATGTACCTATACCAATATATTGAGTCCGAAAATAAATGATAAATAAAATTAAAAAAAAAATACTGTCAGTCGTAGGACTGCACTTCAGTAGTGAAAAGTTCCTAGCTTCACAAACTTTTTTTATATATCTATCTGAGCGTGACGGTCACGCGAGTTCAGTCGTTTCCCCATCGTGCGCAACGTGCCTAAAGATGTTTTCACTTCAATAAAATATAATCTGTGAGTATAAACTTAATCTGTCAAGTTGTATATAAGTTAAACGATCACTAACAGACTCACCAAGTATTCTTTCACCTTTATCAATGACGGATTAACGAGATTCTACTGTAATATTATTTACCTCCATACCAAAAAAAAAATTTGTACTAAATAGCTTATATGACATTTTATACATGCAATAATCTTATTATGGCAGCTAGTTTTATGTTTCGTTCGTCAAATTTTAATGGTGGTTAGTTTGAGACGAATGATTTCTAACATATTTCGCGAATACTAAACTGCGTAACTCTACCAACAGCATCCTAATCACACTTGCTGATAGGTGGGACTCAGCCATTATGAGGCATTGGTTAAGTCTACATGTAAAACTAAATAAGTAAGATATATGTAATGTACGCGGGATGGTTAATCTGTTAAGTTAAGAATATAAAGAAAAAGAAGTCATATACTAACACTAGTCTTATTTTTTTCATTTTTTTATTATTATTATTATTATTATTGTTATACTAACATCTCTATGGACTGAGTCTGAATAAAATATTATTATTATTATAAACACTGATTCAAACTGATTTCACGGAATTGATCGCGATTCTAGACATTTTGAGTACAATGGTATTCAAATAAGAATAGCAACGTCAATGACCTCGAACGAAAACAGTAGTGCTGATAATGATTACAATGATGACGGCTCAGACAGCGATGCAGAGATGGCCGAAATTGAAACGCTAGATTCAGATTAATACTCCCATTCGTGGTTCTTTTGTAAATAAATATAATTTTAAAACATCTGTTTTGCTCACCCTACCAGATTTGAATTGACAGCTATGACGTCACAAATATGGCGCTAATTCAGAAAGAAAGAAACATTTATTGCAAAGGTCAGTCCTATTGTTATTTGAATCACATAGTACTTTACATGTACACGGGAGAGTAAGGGGCAGAATAGTTTAATGTTCTGATGTCACAGTTTAACCCGGGCTAATTCCCACCCCAACTCTCGTTCCGTAAAATTAGTTTCATTCAAGAAAACAGACGAGCTACTTACAAATAGATTATGATTCAATTCATAAAATGTTTATTTAATATCCTAAAGAATTAATAAGCACGGCCCACACACGAACAGTTGACCAAAGGTATTATAAACCGGTCATGACAAATATTTCCATATACATATTATATGTGGAGAGAAGATACACAATATATGGGATTCATATATGAAATACATTTTATATCATTAAAACACTGCAGCCTGTAAGTACAGCACAGTTCACACCAGCATTATAAATCCTTTATAATGCTGGTGCTACGCTATTTAATTTGCTTAGGCCCAGTAAACGTCCATTAATTTCGTGAGGCGATTTTCGCGATTTGTCTACCCTCCCTCTCCTCCTGGTGAGATGTCATGAGACATTTCTGGACCCCTCACCATCAACTCCCCAAAACCTTACTTTAGATTTTTTAAATGCGTATTTTTAGTGTAAATACGTCAGTCTCCAACACCTGACGTAATTAATGGACGCCGACGACGAATAAAGCCGTATATTTCTCTCTATTAGTATTTCTCACGACAGTAGTCTTGCGCGGTCAGCCGCGGCGTCACAGTATTTCAGTTCGCATATTTCCGTGGGACTACTCTATTGACGCAGTGACTAGTTAATACCTGACACTAATTACATACTACTTGTTAAAACACGTTATCAGTTAAATACGACATCAATGACTTCTCGACTTGAATGCAACAGGTACCTAAGTTAAATCTCTATTTGATAAGGATTACTATTGCTGAAGCCATTGTTCTGTGCAAACGACAATAAAGTGTGTAAGGCGTGATTGCGGAAGAAAGCAAAGGAATCGACGGCATAGTTTAAATCGAATATAGATAGTTTAAATCGAATATAGAGAATAGCATATCTAAACGAAGAGTCACATAAAGTCGATTTGAGTAATTGTGATAGTTTTGATAGATTATATGAAGCATTAACGACTGTAGGAAGTCAACCTAGCGAACCCTGTAGTTAAGATTTCGATGCGGAAATGTCAATGAGGGCTAACAATCTCCTGCTCGCCAGATGTCGCTAGTTGCGACTGAGGTGAAGTTTAATGTTACACAATGTCATTTAACTGAGAATTTAGTTTTAAATAAAAGTTTATCACTTTCTAGAGTATTATATTAATACACAAAACAATGTCCCAGTGGTTTGCTCTTTAATTATTTGCACGTTTATAACTCAGTTTTTAATAGCTTGGTTTGTTTATTTCTAATGTGATTAATACAAAATATAAAACTAATATTATGAAAAGAAACATTAACCTTTACATTTTTCGAACACATTAACTTCCCCGCTATGAAATCTGTCAAGTATTTCACCTCATTTCAAAGTGGCGCCGCCCTGGCGGCAGAAAAAGTTGCGGATGTCCCCCTCATTGGAACGTCTTTAAAAATTATATTAATGGCGTGATAAACGAGCGGTTCGAACGCGGCGTTTTTTATCCGATCGATTAATATGATAAATCTTTTGCAGCCAGCGAAATGTTAGAATTATTTCACAACATTAAAATAATTGATATGTATGTGATGTGAAATGACTTTTGACTTTTTGATTTAAAATAATAACTTAACGAGTTTAAATCGCCTAAATTTGGTAATAGAATTAATAAATACATTGCATAATTTATATTTGCCACTTTTCGTAATGATTTAAAACTTTGTTGGTTTACTGTTCTAAATTAATTTTATTATTATTTAAATAATAAAAAATAAAAAAAATCAATAATGGTAAAATTATCCCGACTCCTTAAATCTTCCTTTTTTTTAATTTGATCCTGTATTGCAGAGACCTTTACAAACATGAATTACACGCAGACCCAGAACCCAATTCCAGAAATAATATTTTATATAGCGGGATTCGTACTCACTGCCCGAAACCAAACGCTCAAATGAATAACATTAGAAACACACCGACTACGTACTTTTTGAAAACTTATATTAGAAAAAAAAGTTCGCCGCGTTCGAACCACCCGTTTATCTATCTCAGTGAAAGTTACCTAATAAAATTTACCATGCAAGCGTTCACTTAAAACTAAACGTTATTTATGTTGTGTTAATGTCCGTTTTTCTATATTTCGTTTTTTTTTTGAATGCTGAAATGCGTTGTTTTTTTTTTAATAGTCATCGAGGTCCACGTCGTCCAGCGGTTCGTCGGATTGGAGAGATTGAAAGTCCACTTTGTAGCGGAGTATGCCTGTTTATTAATTTAGTAAAGTTTATGAATACGAATACCGTCATATCCGGCGGCGTTAATCCGAGCAGCAGTGAAACAAAAGAGAAATGTTAGTTATGTCGATTAGTTATGGGTTCCGTCATAAGGGCGAAAGCGTACATAAAATATCATACGAATGCAGCCGAGAGGGAAAGTATCATAAGTCACAGTTAAACAGATTTTACAATTACATAGCAAATACCAAATAGGAGTATGCAAAAGAAGCCAAACTCTGAATGTGTCTTAGGACGCCGTGAATTCATCACGGTCTTTTCCCGTGGGTGTCGCGACAGGAGACTATGGAAAGTTATTTGTAGTCTCGTATTTTTTTTTTTAATAAAACTGATGAGACAAACGAACTTACAGTTGAGCAGTTGGTAGGTGTACAGTATACAGTAGTATAGTCGTAGCACGAATGGGTCAGCTCGACTGGGGAAAGACTGCGCTCTCACAAATTACCAGCGTAAATTAGCGACTTTAATACTGCTGTGTCTCGTATGGTAAGTTTAGAGAACCGGAGACTCTTTTTACTGGAAACGAGGCATTCGTGCTTAGTCCTCAGGGGTGGTAACGCATCTTTAATTCGTAATCGAGGATAGGTGTAGATGTTTGTGGGACACAGCAACCACTTACCATCAGGTGGACTGTGTGCTCGATTGTGACCCTTATCCTATTAAAAAAGTGGCTATTGCATCCCATGAACATCCGCAGCCAACTTGAAATAAAGAAGGCCGCAGATACATTGTTACCTTTGAGAACTAAAATGGAAAACCTACAGCCTGTTACTATACTGGCTCTCCTTACCTTCTCCTACTCTCCTCAGAATCCAAGACAGACAACAAGTGCTACCACCTCTAGCAACACGTATTGCACATGTAAATACTCAAACAGGCAGAGGTGCGAGACATTCTAATATTTCAATCACCAATGTGAATATTATTATAGCAAATCTTTCCTTATAAAGGACAAGTCCACATCCAGCGGTTGACTACGGTCTGATAAATAAAGTTTAAATGTAACACTTGCAATGGTCGATTTCATAATTCAGCAAAGAGCTATTTCGTTGGTTTTTCGTAAGTCTCGTAAGATGGGACAGAGGTCAATTGAAACAGGATATGGACAGCAGCATCTTCCTGATATCATCTCAAAATAATGAAAAATAAACTGCAGTTGCCAACGCACTTGCCAAGCGTTGCATCTACAGATAATATAGCTCCTATGAGACCTAGAGGGGGGCCTGTGATCAACCGTGGACTATGATAGGCTGTAATGGAATTACCGTGAAGTGGAGGTGTATGAATATCAACTGCCTCATATGGTCCTGTGGGTTTCGTAACAGGCGACAGAGGGGAACAAATCAGGAGACGGGCAGCAGCGTCTTTTAAAAATTAAACAACTACAGTTGCCAACTCGCTTGCCAAGAGTAGACACTATGGCAATCTATGGGGGAGGCCTATGTTCAGCCTACGATAGGCTGTAATGGAATAGAGTTTCATTTGAAACCCCCGTGAGTCAACCTTTATGGGTCATCAGTTTCAGAAATGATGTGTGGACTGAAGAAAATTGAATGTTATTCTTAAGGATCTCTCCCGTTGTGGAGAGAGTTTGCCTTTACCGTCATGCTCAGTAAGTTGCCTGGGTATGTAATGTCAGGCGCAATCAAGATAAACAAACCATATATCAGAAGTCATGAGATTTTTCTTGCTTTTCTCATACTCCATTCCATGTTATGACACTCCCGGGATCAAATGGATATTATTATTGTTTGTTAATCTCTCTATTTTAATTTTTGATGATAACTATTGATTGAGATTTATGATCCTGTACCTCTCAGCTACAAATATTTATATTTAACATAAATATCCAAATTACGTACATTATATAATACACAGTACTATTCCCAACACTTCTACCAAAATGGCACAAAACCCTTTGTTTACAATACATTGACGCTAAACAAAAAGTAGCCAATAGTATAATATTTAAACTTGTGTAGTATAACAATTGCTTGCTCGAGTGTTACACGGCTTGAACAAATTTATCACTATCGTGTCACAGAAATCAGATAGCTATATTAGCGATGGACAGATGGACATTCGGTTCATATTATAGAGTAGATAGATGTGTAGAGTTCAATTTCTGTTACTAGCACGACTGATACAGTTAGTCAGTTTAGTTCCTGTATTATTTTTAAATCTATTCTTATTATCTATTGTATCTATCAGAGAATCATTGGTTAAACGATGGAGCCACTTTTCTTTTAAAATTAGAAGTCTTAACATATTCTCAAAAAAATTCGTATAATAATATCAGACACAGACACTCTGGTAGCTTAAAGGTTTTTCTTTAATTTATTTTAATCATATTCATATTCAAAAGTAGCATTGAGATTGTAAGCTAAGCAACACTAAACTTTGTTTGGTATGGACTGCAACTTAACCGCTATAAAATTCCATTTATAAAACTGTTTATCTTCACTTATTCTACAATAAAACTGCCCCCCTCTTTTAAAGAGCAACTTGATCATGTAGTTAAATCAGAATTACACAAAAAAAAAACAATAACACAATGGCTTCAAGAATTAATTTCCTCTGAAATGTAGTTTCTCAAACTTTGTGGTCACTAAACCAAGAGCTAAGTCCTCGATGTCTTAGTCATTCGGCGCTGAGCTATCATACCGTGTGTGTAACAATACAAGTAATACAAATGCACACTGACCTCCAATACCTCCAAATCCTCTCACAAACTGACTGCCCTCCTGACTCTTGTCTGTGATGATTTCAAGTGTGGCTCCGAAGGACTTGTAGTTGTTGGCGAGCCACTCAAGCAACGGCTGACACTCCACCAACTCAAGCTCAACACCGCTCTATAAAAACAAACCAACATATGTAAGAAATCTATATCTATACTCTATATATATCATATTGAAGTGTCTGTTTGTAATGTTAAAATAACAGCTCTTTACTAAACGATATATGAAAGTATCCATCGTACTAATAACAAAAAAAAAACAATTTATAAAATTTTGTCTGTCTGTTTGTTCCGACTAATCTCCGAAACGTCTGTAACGATTTTGACGGGGACTTTCACTTTCAGATCGCTGATGTTATAAGGAGTAAATTAGGATTGTTTTATTTTAGAAAAATAATTAGGGCTCTGCGTAAAAAACATTAAAACCCATGAAATCTGGAGAGATACAACTTTTAAAAGAAACAAGTGCCTTCTTTTTATAAAAATTAAGTGACAAACCTACCTACAGTCCACCTGATGGCAAGTGGAATCTTAATCTTATGCAAACAAACTTGGAACGAAGAAGTCTTCAGATCTAGAGTCAACTCTGAGGACTGAGATACAATGCCTGACAGCCAGTAACTATATTATACGGACTCTACACTCGTCAGACTGGAACACAACAGTGTATACCGATATCTGGCGACAGAAATAAGTGTGTGATACCAACCGTGACAGACTTGTAGGCAGAAAAGTGGTCTCACCACATAGACATCAAATCAGTTCAACATTAATTTTGTAACTGTGGTACTGTTTAAAAAAATGTCTAGAACCTAGACTGATCTAATGAACTAGGTTTTAGCCAAACTCAAACTTAGGCTTGTACAAAAATATCGATATATCGATATTTTCTCATAAAAATGTCGATATAAATCGTCGATATTTTTAATCACGATATATCGATATTTATTTTAGAGTATCGTACTCGTATCCATTTCGATATATTCTAAAACTAGCTGTTCGCCGCGACTTCGCCTGCGTGTTATTTGGGGTTTTAATTTTTTTTGTGCGGAACCCTAATTCATTTTATTAAATAGTGATATCAGCTATCTGCCAGTGAAAATCCTGTCAAAATCAATCCAGCCGTTTCGGAGATTAGCCGGAACAAACAGACAGACAGACAGAGACAAAACTTTAAAAATGGTATTTTTGTTATTATTGTTGTTAGTACCGTATATACTTTCATATGCATTTAGTAAAAAGTTGTAATTTTAACATTACAAACAGACACTTCAATTTTATTTATTTGTATAGTTATTGTATAAAGCATTCATGTGTGTGGTTTTAGTTTTTTGTCGTCGTCCAACTATCAGTTATATTAAATTTTGGGCTTTATCCTTACATCACGCAAATTTATTACGCGATATCATATCAATATAATTTTTCCCATGCCCATCCCTACTGAAGCTTTTATGAGTCTGCCAGTGCAGCTAACAAACAGTAGGGCAGTAGGTATGAGTCGACCACAGACGAACAAACTACACTTGTACTTAGATTTGTCTGTGTTATAGTAATGTGATTAAGGGTACGTTCCAATATACACTGTGACCACTTTAAGGTGTGACGTCAATTCAGTATACTGTGAATCCGTTCCCTTTTTGGATCGTGTTCCGATATACACTGCGAACACTGTTTATTGTTCTCACTGGTGAAAAATTCGCTCCGTTATGGATTGCCAGTATACTGCCGCAGTACCCTAGGGAAATATATTACGTCATAATTCGAGGTAAGGTGCTTTCAGTACTTTGAACACATGATCAAAAAACATAACAGCGCCTATAGATTTAACAGCCTACACGAAGGATTGTTATTATTAATTGATTAATATTGTTATTCGAATAAACTCGGACATTAAGTTTTAAAGGCAACAATATTCAAATAATATTTTTTCTTGTTGAATAGATAACGTGTACATGATAAATATATTCATTTGAGAATAGTGTAATAGTTTGAGAATAGTGTAGAGTCCGAGTTTATTCGAATAATATTGTTATTCGAATAAACTCGGACATTAAGTTTTAAAGGCAACATTATTCAAATAATATTTTTTCTTGTTGAATAGATAACGTGTACATGTTAAATATTTTCATTTGAGAATAGTGTAGAAAAATAGGGATGACAGTATACTGGACTGCGTTCCGTTTTAAACAGTAACCAGTATATAACTAAAAAGAAACGGCCTCACAGTATACTGAATTGACGTCACATCTTAAAGTGGTCAGGTCACAAGTGTATTTCGGAACATACCCTTAATCATTTTAATGTGTCAAAAGATTCTAACGAAAGCATTTGTAGTCGCGTCGCGCACTACTAAGCTGGGTTTAGCCTCGGTCACACAGCGAATATTCGCTTCCTGCCGCAGTTGTCACACACAGCGAATTCTACACGAGAATTTCGACAGTCTATTGGTGCCCCAAATACAAATATGTCATCTATTCGTCGCTCACGTCTAAAACAGTGTATTCGGTTGGCATGTGCATCCTCGATTCTATACACACCCAAGAAGCCAATTATAGCGTAGTTTCCTCACTTTAGTAAATCTTAATAAAAATTATTCGCTTGACTCGTATATCGTACATACACGTATCTATACACTATGCAGTGCCGAAACGACCTGTAGTCTAAGAGAAGCGCGCTGAGCGGAATGGCTACTCACTTCGAGTACCAGTCACAAACAGCGAATTCTCACGGCGAGTGCACGTTCGCATATTAAAATTAAACATGTTCAATTCAACTCGCGGCGAATGAATCTATTCGCAGCTACAAGATCCTTAAAAGCAACAAATAAAAACGTGACTAATCATGGAAGCTCCGAGCCTTACATCTTTATCGGTGAAGTGGGACTTGTCCTTCTCTTGTTCAGGTGTCAAGTGCAAAATGGTCTCCTGGTTGGCGGCATGCGACTTCAGAACGTATCTGAAATATCATATACATCGTTTATAAAATATTTGCATACCTTGGAGTGAAAACAGAAAGCTAGCTTTGCAGTTATAAGAAAAGTGATTCATTCAATTTCAGATGGTTTAACTCTCTACAACATTAATAAAGAACAAAAAAATTGAAAAAAGGCGTGATTCGCCATTGATGTTGTCGAAAAAGCCAACATGAACAATAAATTGCTAGGGTTACCAGAACGGGAAATAATAAAAAAATTCAAAACGCACGTGGAAAGTGATGAAACTTTAACTCCTTATTTTTTTTATAGGATAAGGGTGACCAGCGAGCACACAGTCCACCTGATGGTAAGTGGTTGCTGTGACCCATAGACATCTACATCTATCCTCGATTACGAATCTAAATGCAGATGCGTTGTCTCTCGTGATTACTAAGATTGAATGTAGAAGTAAAAAGGGTCTCCGGTTCTCTACACTCACCATAAGAAACATAGAATTGAGTAGCTATTTTACGGTTGAGCCGACCCATTCGTGCTACAACTATACAATTAACTATCAATATAGCTGCTACACGGCTCTACCACGTAAACTATCTTTCTTACTTCACATCTATCTGCATTTTGATTCGCAAGCGAGGATAGATGTAGATGTCTATGGGCTACTGCAACCATTTTCGGTCAGGTGGACTGTGTGCTCGCTTGTCATCCTTATTCTAAGAATATACACTACACCGTATCGTCCCGTGGACGTCCTAAGAGGCGACAGAGTGAAACAAATCAGGAAATGGGCAGCAGCACCTTCCTAATACCAACTAAAATTAAAAAAAATGCGGTTGTGAACCCGCTTGGTTCGTGAAAGAATGGTGGTAGCACAGGGACTAAGTATTCATCCTAAATTCACCATTACACTGTTATTTTTCCATTATTATACATATATTTAAAATATTTCTTTATTTCATTGGTCTTGGGACAAAATGGCTTCTCCAAGGCTTTGGTTGTTACCCAAAATAAGTGTTACGTTTTCTAGTTTTAGGATTTAGACATCTACATCTATCCTCGTTTGCGAATAAAATGCAGATGCATTGTCAGCCGTGAGGACTAAGATGGAATGCCTTATTTCCAGTTACATAAAAAGAGTCTCCGGTTCTCTTTACTCACCATACAAAATACAGCAGTGTTAAGCTGCTATTTTACACTGGTATTCTGTGACAGCGTGGTCCTTCCCCGGTCAAGTCGACTTATTTGTGCTACAACTATACTATTAATATAGCTGTACCATGGATCTACCACGTATACAAAGAGACTTTTCACAAATAGACTGCCACTTCACAGTATTTAATCTTTATTTATATAATTGTAGGTGCATCTTTTAGTGATCATGTAAATTCTGAACGACTTCACCTCCATCAGTCATATTCATACAATATTTTTGTTTTGTGGAGATGATGGTTGATAACTATGCTAGGATCCGAAAGGTGGCACTGTAATAAAGTTATTAAAAAATTCTATATTTATAGAGTAGAATAACTCATATACACAGTATATGTCGGGTGACACTATGGTTGAATTATTAATATGTAAACGCCCAAAATGAATTCGAAATAAAATTCAAAGCGCCACCTATCGAAAAGAACAGAACAACGTCTACCAGGCCAGCTATTATCCAGATTGTGGTAATATTGCACACATAACATTCCTCACCTCTGTATGTCAAGGTTCTCCCAGCAGATGAGCGTCTCCACAGAGCCAAGTTCAAGGGCGCGCAGTGTATCGTCCACTCCAAAGCAGTACTTGCCCGTGTCCTGCGTGTATGCAATTAAAATCATAATGATCACATTAAGCTTTGATGAAAGCGACCTTGTGATCTATCTGCAGTGCCCCAGCACTTTTATTCTATCAAATATCAAATATCATATCAAATCAAATTCTATCAAATTTATTCTATCAAATAGAACCATATCCCAATATGGTTCTATTTGATAGAATAAATTTTCCACAATCGCCATGATAAACAGATTAAATTGCGATTTCAGTATGCAGAAAAAACATAAAGGGCAACATAATTAATGAGTTCCAACTAAGCAACATTAAAATTTTAAGTCCGGTCATCAGGAAGTTAGTTTAAAATCAAAACAAAGATACAGACAAGAATATAAGTAAGTTTTGCATTATCATCCAGTTCCGAGCGTTGTTTAAATTTTCAGTCTCTAGCTTATTGGGATATTAGTTTGAAATTGAAACAAATAACCAGATAAGTTTATTTTGCATTTTTATCCAGTTCTGAGATAAGTTTCAAGTCTCTAGCCTGTGGATAGTTAGTTTAAAATTTAAAAAAAAAATGGACAAGAAAGTAAGCAAATTTTGCTTTGTCATCCAGTACCCGGCTATGTCTAAACTTTCACTTCTGTATCTGACCAGAGAGTTTAAAATTGATTGCAAAATTTGTTATAAACAGACAAACAGAGATAAAAACAAATTAATAAAAATTGTTGTAAAAAAGGACTCACCTGTGAGATCTCTTCAAAGTAGCGCCCAATCAGTTTCTTCTCCTGAATAAACTTGACGTTCTGCAACAATTCCGCCGCGAGCTCGATGGCCTGGTTAAAACCATTCTCTCCTCCGTATGACACATCCACCAGCTTGATGATTTTGGATTGGAGACGCTGAAATATGAGGTATTGAATATAGATTAAGAGAATAAACTTTTTTTATACAAGTAGATAACTAGCCATGTGCGAGTCTGGCACGCGCATAAAGGGTTCTGTAGCCTTACCATCGTAACACAAGTTTCTAGTAGGGGAGCCCCCTTTAATCTTTAATTTATTATAATTTTTATTACTCGTTGTTATATCGGCAACAGAAATACACATTTTGTGAAAATTTCAACTGTCTATCTATTACGGATCATGAGATACAGCCGAACGGACGGACGAACAGAGAGCAGAGCCTAAATAATAGGGTCCCGTTGGTTACCCTTTGGGTACGGAACCCTAAAAACAAACTGAAAACCCTGATGGCAAGTGGCTACTGAAGTCTATGGACCCTTGCGGCCAACTTCAAACAAAGTAGGCCACAGATGCGTTGTCACATCTAAAGTCTAAGGCTGAGATCTATTGACCGTACTTTGACTTTGCTCAGACTTTACTTTCAAGCTAAGACAATGTCAGTATTTATAGAGCTAACTTCGAAGTCATGCTGAGTGCGCGCTTAGCAAAGCCTAAGTCAACGATATCGACAACTTACCTAAAACTCAGTATATTATTCAAAACCACCATTTTTAAATTGTTGTTTTTATGTTACTCTAATTAATTATAATAATAAATAGGTAGTTTTAGGCCGTCTTCTAGTTTTAACCGGTTCAGTGTGGGTGACACGCCAGGCGTGCCATCGATTACTTTTGTGTTTGGCGTATGACATGCGAGTCGAGTCTTTTTAAAAATTGTTATAACTCGCTCAAATTGCTTTTTTGGAAAATTTATCCAGAACAAAATATTCATTATTTTGCGAGTAGTTCATGCATGCAGCTTCGTTTCTGAATATTTTGAAAATTTGAAATTTTTAGGGGTCGACAACCTTTTTTTAACGTGTACATGGTACTATTTTTACTTTGTGGGTTATGTTTGTAATCATATTATGGAAAAATTGTCGAATAAGTAAAAAATAATAGCACTTATTGCGATCGCTCACAAAATCAAATTGTAAATAAATTTCTGGAAAACAAGTCTCCTGTCAAAAAAAAACAATGCGTTTGTCTTATTGTTTAATTTTGCTTAAAATGGTTGAACTGCCGTCTTATTACCGGACTTATGCCGAATAGACCTACGAAGTACCATGTGCTCTTGTGATATTAAGGTTTATTTTTGCTTGAAACAGTTTGAAACCGGTCATGCATAAAAAAGTTCGCTAATAAATAGTCTTTTGTCAAGCCGCCGCCGTATAGTGCCGGCGTTTTTTTCCTTTTGAAAACATTCGTTTTGCTATTCTTACTAATTAGACATTTTCAGATCGACTTTACTTTTACATTTGTATAACATTAAATAATATTTAACATTTGTAAATATCAATGAATGACACCTTTTTTTTTCAAATTAAGGTTCTTCATTGTTTGATATTTACAAATGTTATTATTAGGTGAAAATTTAATTTAATAAAAACCAAGGTTTCCAGGGTGATTTAGCTGTACCTACTTATATAAATGATTTTTTTATAACAACAAAAAATAGTACAAAAGGTTTGTAATCTCTTCATAAAAAAGTCACTTTCTCTCAATTTCAAAGAAAACGCGAAAAAAACAAGTAGTTACCCACTAGAAACAAGTATCCTTCCATTTGTAACTTATGTTTGATGTCAAATAAACTTAATTAGGTCTAAACAAGTAAATAAAGCATAAAAAAGAACATTACTTTTACACATGGCTTGTCTGTTACGCCAGGCGTGTCATGAAATATTTGTTTGCCGCCACAGCTAAAAGTTGTCGAAAATTGGTGCCGCAACGAATCGGTTAAATAGCTTTAGGCCATTTTCTATTTACGTAATTTAAATCTTATTTTTTCTTTTTTTCTGATTTTGCACTCATCTCATCTGTTCCCGTTCTCATACGACCGTTTTGTATTTCATGTAATAATAAATAATTTATGAAATACAATTTGGACTATTTTTCGATTTAAATATATATATTTCTTTTTAATTTTATACAGTAATTTTGATTTTGAATATACATATTTTTTAATTTTATACAGTAAAGTCAAAAACATAATGCGTGGAATGAAGCATCCATTAATTAATATTTGGACTGTCTGGGCCTTAGCATAAGCTTAGCTTAATCTTAGCCCGATACAGCTATAAATTCAGAATCTAAGATTATGCTAAGCATATACTAAGCAAAGTTTTTCGTAAGCTAAGTGTGAGCTAAGTCAAAGTACGATCTATAGATCTCTGTCTTAGATGGAATGCCTGACAGCCTATAATTTTACTGGCCTCTATACCCGTCAGACCAGAACACGGCACTGTTATAAGGCCTGTACCGGAGTTTTTTTTTTTTTTTTTTTTTTTTTTTTATAGGAGAGGGGGCAAACGAGCATGCGGCTCACCTGATGGTAAGTGACTACCGCCGCCCATGAACAACCGCAACACCAGGGGAATTGCAGATGCGTTGCCGGCCTTTTAAAAAGGAGTAGGCTCTTTTCTTGAAGGTCCCTAAGTCGTATCGGTCCGGAAAAATCGCTGGTGGTAAACTATTCCACAAGGAAGTTGTGCGAGGAAGAAAACATCTTCTAAATCGCACAGTGGTGGACCGCCAATCATCCAGATGGTGTGGATGGTATCGGGAGTTCTGCCGCGATGTGCGTTCGTGAAATTTGGCGGCTGGGATTAATCCGAACAATTCCTCAGAGCACTCCCCATGGTAAATGCGAAAGAAAATGCTAAGAGATGCAACATCTCTTCGCAGTGCCAATGAGTCGAGCCGATCGGAAAGGACTCGGTCGTCGACGATTCGAGCCGCTCTACGCTGGATGCGGTCAAGTGGAAGAAGCTGGCACTGGGGAGCCCCAGCCCAGAGATGGGAACAGTATTCCATGTGAGGCCGAACCTGCGCCTTGTAAAGTTGCAGGCGTTGAGCCGGCATGAAATACTGTCCCGCTCTGCTGAGCACGCCAAGCTTTTTAGAGGCCAATTTGGCCTTCTCTTCCAAGTGACCACGAAACTGCACGCTACTCGATATGTCGACGCCGAGGATTCCGATACTGGCTGAGGCAACAAGGGGAGTACCTTGAAACTGAGGAGATACGACAAAGGGGTTCTTTTTAAATGAGAGTGCACAATATTCATACAAGTATTACGAAACATACACAGACGTGTGATATTCGATAGTCTACTATTGTAGGTGAACCACGAGGCATGAGTCCATCCTTTGTACAAGTCGCGGCACGAAAGTCTAGCGCTGAACTAAACGTGGAGGGGATAGCTGGAGAGCCAATTAGCGCGTGCGAACGACGCACGCCCACCCCACGACCCGCTTACTACCCCATGATACCTTATGCGCAATAACGGTCACCGCTAGACTTTCGTGCCGCTACTGATAATCCCTTTAATTAAAGTGTACAATTAAGAATAAATAAATAAGAACCTATTAAGAATTGCTGAGGTCTGTTGCATTACCTAAGGGGATTAATACAATGGTGACTAAGTTGATAAATTATGTAGAACAAATAACACCCACACCTCTTCTTATTAACTTGCATTCGGGGATTCTGCCGTTTGATTGGTTCAGCAATTTTCAGATCTATTTTAATTAACTTGTGTAGAGCTTCATTCGCCTCGTTTTGGTAGGCGAAGTATAGGGTGACCCCCCACTACATGGAGTGACCACCTGGTAAGACATGCAGGAAGTTAATGAATTAATGTGGCTCAGGACAGTGCTTTGCGGCATTCCTTGGGGGAGGCCTATGTTCAACAGTGGATTTGTGAAGGGCTGAAATGATGATGATGATCATGAGTTTCCTTAATAATTTTAACGTCTTCTGTAAGTAGACGTCTTTCTAAGTAGTGTTAATTAATTTACGTGTCATAATTAAAACAAAGCCTAATGAAAGATAAAGAATAATTCTTATGAAGGTTCCACCAACCACATATTCTTCGTATGTCCACAACTTCAGTTCTCCCTGTGTGATATTTTTCCCCAAAACGTCCCTCATCTTACTAATTCAATTAGTTTGCTGTCCCTTGTGTTTTCCTCATTTGTTCATATTTCATGTGATTTCATCTATACTAATAATAAATCATTGTTGGTGGCAGGATATTAAATGTTTGTTTTGTCTTTTGTTGTAGATTAGAAAGCTCTTACAAAACAATTATTTAAGTATACATGACAAGTTTTCATTTACTTTATTGTCACTCTGACTTGACATTGGCAGAAGTATAATAAGAAAAGCCATAAAGTAAAGATAAACTTGCATTAGACTTACTGGGTCAAACATATCGGACTGGGACAGTTCAGTCTTGAAGTCAGCGGAACCCGCCAAAATCAGTCCTGCTACGTTGGGACGGTCTGCACTGATGAACAATTGTGTAGCAACCTCTGCAACTTTGCGCACGTAGTTGTGACGCTTTTCCATTCGGAGACGGGCGAAACGCAACGCAGACTGACCACCACGACCGTGCTTCTTCGGCAGATCTACAGTGAACTTGTGGAGCACCTGTAAGTTGATATTTCTTTTTATAATAACTTTACTTAATAATAATGTGCTTCAAAATTAATTTCGGTCACTACGGCCAACCTCAATAGCCATCTGTGCAGGATGGAATAACAAGTGCATCTCTATTCCCTCACTCTAATTGTCCGATGAGACAGCAATGCAAATTGTCTTTTTTTTATAGGATAGTGTGCCAAACGAGCACACAGTCCACCTGATGGTATGTGGTTGCTGTGGCTCATAGACATCTACATCTATCCTCGTTTGCGAATCAAAATTCAGATGTGTTGTCACCCGTGAGGATTAAGATGGAATGCCTCTTTTCCAGTAAAAAGGGTCTCCGGTTCTCTACATTCACCATATGAAACACAGTAGTGTTAAGCTGCTGTTTTACGCTGGTATTCAAAGTCTGTAGTCTGTCTGTAGAGAAATCAGACCAAAAGGCTTTTTGCTTTCCAAAGCACAGGGGTGAAACACCACCAATTACCTGACTATGGCCTACTTCTTGGGCTGGCTTGGACACAAAAATATAATTACTGATTTGGACCAGATCAAGCATTCAAACCCATGAACACGTGATCAGCAGTGAAGCTGATGACCACTTGACCAACAAGGCAGTCAATGGTTGATAGTTAATAACAATGAAAATATATAATATAAAAAGAAAATCAGTAATTAGTGTAAAACAAAAAATATTAGTATTCATACATCCATCCGGATCCCCATCTGCCAAGCGAAGCAACTATGTCAAATATTACCCATATGAGGGAGACCTATGTTCAGCAGTGGAATTTTGAGAGGCTTTAATGATGATTATTATACTAATAATTCGACCAATAGCTGGGCACACGCCTTCTCTGACCTCTCGAAGTTTTTTGAGCACGTAAGGGTCTATTGCACTGTAACAATGTGTGTTGGAAAACATGACATATCTTCAAAATATTGTTGCTTCTCTGACATACAGGTTTCCCTTCTCAATAATAATGATAATCAAACAATTAAATTACAATTTTCAGTGGACATGCTGGGATAGAACACTTTTGTGCTATGAAATGACCATATCGACGGATAAAAGGTAAAAGGGCATAAGCGACATTTTGGTCTAAATTGAGTCTTGAATGCCAAGCTACTTAAAATTTTCCACTTTTTCGAATGCGTTTACTCCCATGGCTCTACAATGACTTTTTTGTTGCTTATGCCCAAGCAAAAAACTGCGTTTACGAAGTATCATTTCGGTATAACCGACCGAGTTTTAGGCCTTTTTTACCCTTAAGGCGCTTTTAACCCTGTAAAAATAGCATCACTTCTGGTTTAAAGTCGGTTATGTATTTTTACTTCTCACTGGTGTATAGATTCTGGTCGCATACTGCTCTTTACCATTAGCACCTGTTTTGAAAGTTGGGACTAATGCCTCTTTACCTTTGTCGTCACAAAAATTAAGCGTCGGTTATATCTTACTACCATTTACAAGTTTACCATTCATTTGTTGCTTATACACAATTACTAAAATCTAATTTAATATTGAACAGTCGGTTATACCTTACTACTATTTACAAGTTTACCATACAGGTGTCGCTAATACGCAATTACTATAATCAAATTTGATATTGAAATGTCGGTTATACCCTACTACCATTTACTATTTTAATACAACTCTGTCGCTTATGCCGTATTACTTTACAGTGATAATTTTTTAATTGGTGCTTACGCCAATTTGTGTCACTTTGTTATAAAAAAGTAGCTATTTAGCAAGTCGCTTATTCCAAAATCAGTCGGTTGCGTGCAGTGACGGCGAGAGCATGCGCGCTTGCGCATAATTTTTTTGCGAAAAGTGCGCCAAACATCCTGTTAACGGTATGTTATTTATTTTTCTAACCTGTTTGATATTGAATTAAGTACTTATGATTGATTACATACTAAGTAGGTAGCTATAACTGATATTTATTATTTTGAATGTATTGTTTTAGGTTAAAATGGAAAGAAAAGGTCGAAAAAGAGATATTCTGGAAATGGCTCTCAAAACATCGGGTATACGAAACCAGAAAAAATGTCGCAAGAGCCTTCTTTCTGAATTTAATAAGGTAAATAATTTATTGTTTTGTATTTTTGTTGTTGAACATCAAATAAAGTTTGTCTCTCATGTATATAGGTATCTATATCTGTATGTTGGGCTTAAGAAGGTTAATGATTTTAGTACCGTGGCATCCTCTGTGGAAAACAAGAGTGATCTATACTTAATTTGTATGACATAAATGAAGTATCCAGATTTTGTATGAACATTTAGGTAAAAGAAACCTGCCTATATAGCTAAATATTGTAACTTTCTTATTAAATAGTTTTATGAAAGACTATTAAAAATTTTTTTATATTCTTTCATAAAATTAGAAGTTAAGGACTTAAAATTACAATAAAGCTAGTGTACGCCACTGCTAAGAAACGGTCTAAGACACTAATTTCACATTTCATTTTCTTAACATGTTAATACTTAATACTTGAACTTATGAAGAACGGTAGATACTCGTAAATAAACTATTATATTGTAGATGCGCAAGTATTTTTACAGTGCTGTGAGTAACAAGAAAAAATGAGTGTACATATTGAAAAAATGTATGTGTATTACAGAATGGATATTGCGATTTATTATTATTATGAGCACAGGAACTACACTAAACGTATTATAAATACACAATACATGAAGGCACACTCGTGCACATTCACACCACTATATAGTAATTTTACTTTACCTACCTACCTTTTTTCCAGAAGTCTGCCATCCTCACGAGCTCCGCGCCGCCGCCTAACGCTGTGTGTGCCATCCTTACAAACCCTACTCCAGACCCTGCGCCTGCCATTCTCATAAGCTCTACGCCGGACGCTGCAACTGCCATCCTTACGAGCTCCGCGCCCAACGCTGCACCTGCCATCTTCACGAGTCCTACTATAGATGCTGCGTCTGCCATCCTCACGAGCTTCACGAACGATGCTGCGTCTGCCGTCCTCACCAGCCCTGCTACAGAGGCTGCATCTGCCACCCTCACAGGCTCCGCGCTCAACGCTGTGTCTGCCGTCCTCACGAGCCCTACTACAGATGCTGCGTCTGCCATCCTCACGAGCTCCGCGCCTGATGCTGCGTCTGCCGTCCTCATGAGCTCCGCGTCCGACGCTGCGTCTACCGTCCTCACAAGCCCTGCTACAGATGCTGCGTCTGCCATCTTCACGAGATCCGTGCCGGACGCTACGTCTGCTGCATGCTGGAACTCCACACCGCCAGGCACAGAAACAAATCTCTCAGGAATATCGCTCCGAGATATTCCCAGCACATCTTTTGTGACTGAACTCAACAATAATGTTTCACCTACAATGGAATTGTCCAACGAAATATCAAGTATTCCAAACTCCGCGCCAAACTTCGTTCGATCTTATGTTTCCCAACAACCGTTGGACGTTCTTCCAGGTACATCTTTGAGAACCGGCGCTAACAACAATAAATCGTCCTCATTTAGAATCACCCGTCCAGCAAAGAAACAATCTTATTTAGATTATATGTCAGACGACGAGATAGCTTTGTTAAATTCCTTTGGCGATGCAGGAAGCTCAGATGAGTGGGAGCCGGAAAGAAACGAAAAGAAAAGGAAGCAAATGACTATTAACGTCGAAGAAGAGTTTGTAGGTAACAAAGCGACGAAAAAGGTTCCCAAAAATAAGAGGAAACAGGCTTATCTGGTCAGAGTTACATTAAAACAAACGGAGAAGTTGTTCAAGAAAAAAAAGTCCAACCAAACCCTTGTGTGGGTAAGAAATGTGGAAACAACTGCGGAGATATAACGGAAGAAAGAAGGATAAGCATTTTCAAGCATTTTTGGAGCCTTTCAGAACAGAGAAGAAAGGATTGGATCATCAGCCTAACCCAGAAAACTAATATCAAAAGAAAGAGAAATAAGGATTCAGAAAAACGCACCATAACATACAAATACAATATTACGGATGGAGAAGCTCATCGACAAATATGTCTGCAATTTTTGTGCAAAACGATCGATGTGTCACACAAATATATTTATTATACGGTTTCAACTGCCGATGAGTTTGGTAGTGCCAAACAATCTGAAAGGGGTAAAAGTGTACCTCCCAACAAAACCAGCAACGATGAAATTACAGCGGTTGAAAACTATATAAAATGTTTACCGGCAGTTCCTTCTCATTATTGTAGGAAGGATAGTACTCGAACATACCTTCCAGCAGAATACAAAAACTTAGCCAATTTATATAGAAAGTACAAAGAATATCGTAGCTTTCAAGGACTGACGTATGTTTCGGAGAGCATTTTCCGAAAAGTTTTCAATGAAAACTTTAATATAGCATTCCATATCCCGAAAAAAGACAAATGCCTGAAATGTTGTCAGTACGAAAATAAAACTAATCCTACACCAGAACAACGACGAGCTCACGAAGAACACCTTATTGAGAAAGACCACACATACAATCGCTACAAGATGCACAAAACTATTCATTTAAAAGACTCAGCATCCATTTGCATTAGTTTTGACTTACAAAAAGTCTTGAACACACCGTATGGTGATAGCATGTTATTATTTTATACACGCAAGCTGGCCGTTTACAATGCAGTTATTTATGAAAATGGTACGCGCAATGTTTATTGCTATTATTGGGACGAAAGCCAGGGTAACCGAGGTGCTAATGAGATGGCTACAATATTAAGCAAATACATAACGAAGCTTGATGAACGCGGAAATATAAGACGACTTCTTCTTTATTGTGACTGCTGTCCCGGTCAAAATCGGAACAAGATAGTTCTTGCAATGCTGAACGAGATTCTGCAACGATGCAGAACTCTTGAATCTATTCAAATAAATTTCTTACTTACCGGTCATACCTACATGACAGTCGATTCGGTACATGCGACTATTGAAAACCACGTTAAAAATACCACTATCTGGGCTCCTTCCCAGTGGTATACGGTATTCAAAACAGCAAGACAAAATCCAAAGCCCTTTCATGTTGAGCAGTTAACTCACAAAAATTTTAAGAGATGGGATCTACTCGCAGACAAGTATTTCGTGGGAAATCTTGTAGGTAAAATAAGTAAAATACGAGTCGCCACTTTCAAAAAGAATCGTATATCAGCAACGGTTAAATACTCTATGAATCCGGAAACACCTGTGTCCTGTATTGAAATCGCCTCCAAAACAAAGTTTCTTGACTTACCGGACTGCTATCTTACACCCCTACCAATTACTGAAAATAAACACAAAGATTTATTAAAGCTTTGCTCAGACCAAGTTATACCCCAACAATTTCAGGCAGAGTACTTAGCTTTAACTTTCAACAAAACGGTGAAAGATACTTTACCCGATACTGACATTGAAGATAATGTTGATCAGTAGTTAACTTATCTGTATCACTATTTTGTGATGACTGTGCCTTAATTTTCTTCAGGTTCTTGCGTACCAAAGACCTACTTTAATTAATCTTCAGGAGATACCTTATAAAGACTGTTTAAGTAAATAATTGATTTTAATATTGATCTCGATTAGCTGATAAGCTAGTAATTGTAAACAATAGACCTGTTGTTATGAGGTCGATTTGTTTGAAAACCACTAAGTATTAATAGTTCCTGTAACCTTCCAACTCTTTATTGATTTTAATATTGATCTCGATTAGGTGATAAGTTAGTAATTGTAAACAAAATACCTGTTGTTATGAGGTCGATTTGTTTGAAAACCACTAAGTATTAATAGTTCCTTTAACCTTCCAACTCTTTATTGATTTTAATATTGATCTCGATTAGCTGATAAGTTAGTAATTGTAAACAATAGACCTGTTGTTATGAGGTCGATTTGTTTGAAAACCACTAAGTATTAATAGTTCCTTTAACCTTCCCACTCTTTATAATTATTTTTACCAAAGAAACTTTCATAATAGTAGCTAAATAAGTACATGGTGAATGACTGAACAGTCACTGCGCATGACACACACGGTGCTTAGTTGTAAGTAAAAATAAATATTTCAAGATTATTATTGTTGCCTTGAAGGCTGTTATTGTTTTGTCAAAGATTATAAGTACGTAGTGGTATGTTGTACTAAGTTTTAGAAATTCTTTATTTTTGGAAGTACATTATATTATTGCATTAAGTTACTTCTTTTTTTTTGTTACTATGCAGATACTACGTACATCGTAAAAATTACTTTTTCTTTTATAATTGTTAATAAAAAGTGAAAAAACGTATTTTTGTTATCATTTAATCACATGAAGTATTACGTCAGAGCATACTTAATATATAATATATAGAGCATTATTAATCTAGTACGAGCGATGATGATGATGGGTAACACTAACAGCCTTTAAATGAATACAGTTACTTAAATATTATTTTAAAGGAGAATCATGTCGTTTGTTAATCTATTATTTTTAAGACATGACATTTAATTCACATTACCATTTGCCTATATCATACCGTATGTTGGATGTTCTTGTTTTCCTCTTAGTATAGAAATCTTGATGTGTGGAAGTACCACGTTACCTTTTTTTCAACCCACTTACAGTGTCGCTA